TCCTCAATTATTTCTCTCCACTACTTTCTACTTGCCATTAAAAGATCTCAGAGAATTGAAACAAAAAAATGTTGCAAGTTGGTGGAAGCTACCTTCTTTTTTTTTCTTTCTTAACATTACTATCCAAGAGGATAAGCTCAACTACTTCTCTCTACCACTTTCTAGTTGCCATTAAAGAATCTCAGAGAATACTTCTATCTTCTTTTTTTCTTTCTTAGCCTCCAATTCAGAAGGATCAGCTCAACTACTGCTCTTAATCAGTTTTTGTTCACCATTAGGAAGTCTGAGAGAATTAAGAAGAAAATAATGTTATACGATAGTAAAAACCACCTTCTTTTTTTTTTGGCATTAGAATCCACGGGGGTAGTTCCTCAAATACTTCTCCCCACCACTTTCTATGCGAGGCTTCTTTTCTTCAGCGCTGTATTCTTATTTTTTTGTAATCAGTAAGTATTATATGAAACCATATTTTTTAATCGACGCCATTTTTTGTTTATCATATTAGGTACTCACATAGGCGGCTTAAGACTGTTACTACCACTAGGCATACAGAGATTACTAGAAATAATTCTTATATTGAGTGAAACTATCTACGTAACTTGAAACCTGTTTTTAGGGCAAGGATATTTTTATGCTTATACATTTTTATAAAAATATAATAAAATTTTATTTCTGTTGAGAAATGGTTTACTGTAGAAATATATCGCAGAAACTCAGTTAATTTAGTTTCTATAACCGATTTTCACCTAATTTTTTGTTTAACATATTTTATATCGTCAAATGTTAGTCTTTAATATTGCGTATTCAACTTTCAATTTATCTTGACAAATTTTTATTTTTTTTTATAAAAATAAGACTTAGTTCTTTTTCTCAGTTCTGACACTGCAATAACGCAACAAAAGAATAATTCTGCACGGTGTAATGCATTTTCAATTTTCGTATACAAAAGTGACAAATGAAGTGAATGCGTTATCCTTGAATGTGACACATATTTTTATTCTGAATTCGCAGACATAAATATGTTTTTATGTTTTTATTTTCGAGTATTAAGCCTCATTCATACTGCAGCAAAATATATTTATATTTTATTTTTTCATAATTTTTTTGACATTTTTCATACACTAAATGGAAAACTTTATTTAAAGAACTCAGAACGCAGAACTCAGAACGCAACTGAGATGTCAAAACTTTTGGGTTTTATTAAATTACATATCTTTTTACTTTTTATGACAGTAAATGGTTTCGCCGTCGCTCAGTGAGTATCTCGTTATTGACACTCACTGTGTGGCCATGTTCCTTGCGAGTATTATTTTCATTTAAAAACTTTTAATGTATTTTATTTAAAAAGTTTAATACGTTATTGATCCGAATGCGACTATAGCTGTATCCTAAATAGAACTTTGCCAAAAGAAAGTTGGTGTCAACATTGTACAGAGATTGCTGTGAATTGTACAATACTGTGTCTTCCAGTTTTATATTTAAATGTGTTATAACAAAATATATGTACAAAAAAAAAAATTTAATTTAATTGCTTAGAAAAAGTATGAATGTCTTCAAATTTCTGTTATAATTTTTTAAAATCTGCTTAAGAGAAAAATCCTATTTCAACAGCATTTCAGTTGAGTTCATTTTTCAACACTGTAAGTAATCGCATTTCACATTTTTTCCCTCTGCCTTTCATTGCAATATTTTCTTTTGTTATTGCAACTCCAGTTTCATTTTGTTGAGAAATGTAAAATGGCGACAATTTGTAACGCCACAATCAAGTCAAAACAGTTGTGGCAACTACTCCAGCTACTCCAACTATTCGTCACTAAGAGCCACTAGAGCAGCAGTGAAGTTCAGTAATAAAATTTCGAAGCTGCTACTGCCTGAGTAAGTGCAGCAAGTCGGTTTCTTTCTTCACATTACATGCAACATCACTAGTGGTAACTACATAAAATGTACCTTAAAATATTCCATTTTGGTTTCACATGGCAAACATATACATAGTAGTTGCATTACACTCTTCTTGCCACAGACCGCTTACCGCAAAAATTTTTTAAGTCTGCAACATTAGTCAACATGGTAAGAACTAACAGCTAAATTTCAGTTATTGCCATTTCCGCTGCCGCTACTACCACTTCCGAACTCCATCACAGCTGAAGAGTATCCCAATGACATAATGAAACTTTGCTGTATAATTGGATGATTTTGTCAGCTTTTTGGTGTGATTAATCAAAACCAATTGGGAATTCTATGTAACCAGGCAACAACAAACATTTTATGAGGAACAACAAAAACAATGACAACATTAATAAGGCACGAACTATGAAAAATTTTTACAATGTGGCAACTTGATTGGTCGTCGAAGCGCCACACCGAGCACGTACTGACTTCTTTACACAAATAACAATTTTTTCAAGAATATTTTTTTTAAATAAATTTACTATGCCAGACATTTTAATGAGAAACATTTGTTTTGGGAGTATGTGGCCATCATAAGAATTGATAGCACTGTTTTTACGCAATTTGTTGTTAAATTGTCGCCATTGTCACTCTGAGGAATAATTTTTAACAAATTAAGATATTATGCTTATTTGCGATGGATGGGACATATGTCTGCATGTATTAAAATATATTGCAGATATATTACAGGGCTGAGAATAAGAAGTTTTTTATAAAAATAATAATGATGCTGCAGCAAGGACCGTTGATTGCTTGAACTTATTTTTTAAATTAATTATCTGATTTATTTCTTATACAATATTTTTATCAATGCTTATACAAATATAAAGCAATAAAGTAAAAATATCAGCATAATTTATTAGTTCAACATCTCTGGCAAATTTCCTCAACATATTTAAAGCAATGATACATAGACTCTTTGTACTAAGCAGAGATGATATTAGAACTCACGGATAGACTCTCTATGAAACCAAAATCTGCAATTCATTATATGTAAAGTGCAAATTTAACTGCAACAGATTTGTCCATCATGGAATCAATTTTTTTGTATCACCAAAACAAAACAAAACGTTTCAAGGTGGTTCATTATAAATCTAAGAATCAATTACGATAACTATGATTGGCGTAATAAGCCAGGTCAGCTACAATATACAGTATTCCCTACATAATAGTAATGATATATATCATTATTATATATGGGAAAAAATCTGTCTTCGCACTTGTAGTATTCGAAAAGGTTATTACAACCGATTTGTTGGGATTGTCTATAAAAGACAGAAATTATTTGTAGGGGAAGAGTGAGATTATAGTAAATTTCATTGAACTGAAATAAAGTGCTATAATTTTTTTTTTAATTTCAATTAAACTATTTTAGATGTCATTATGTTAATATTAAAACTTCTTTATGTACAGATGTATTCTGACAATCTCAAAGCTTATGCAGACAAAATGATTATTTCTCTAATATTTATAAAAAATGCTTTCTAAAAAATCATAAAAATATATAAAATCTACATTTCTTGGTTAAGAGTATTAATTGCTCATTATTATATTTACCCACAAGTATATTACAGAAATTAACGGTATTTAAAATATTCACTAAAAAAATAATTCTTAAATAATTCTTAATAAAAATAAAAATAATTAAATAAATTTTAAAAGCATAACATTTTTCGTTACTCGGTGCGTATGAGTAATTTTTTAAGATAATTTTTATTTTTTAATTGAAAATTTTTAAAAAATGTAAGCGAACCATAAATAAGATTAAAATTAAAAAATTTTGTTTTTTAAACATTAAAAAGTGATTTAATAAAAATTAATTGTTTTATTCAGTTCATGAAGTCCAACATTTTATTTTTATTTTCATATATAAAAATGTGGGGTTTATGTTAAAGTTTTATTTCATTATGACAATTTCAAACCTTTTTAATACATTTATTTACATTTATTTTTTTATTTTTTGTGCTTTGCAAATCAATGCATATTCAATTCTGAATACACAATAGACTCGATGGTTGTGGTGCCACATCTCCTAACAGTAATATTTTAACAATTTAAGCTGTAAAGCACATTAAATTAATTAATAGGTCTCTTAGCTCTTTCCTACGAATTATTTTTGTCAAAGAAAATGTCAAATTTATTATTAATAACAAAAATTTGTCATCAACCATGTATTGTCGCGCTAAGAAACTCATTTTTTAAGACTTTTTTATTTTCAAACTACAAATTATTATTTAAGTATCTATAGCGTTTTTTCTTATTACATACAAAAAAAATAATCAATTTAAAAAAACTTTTCACTTCAATACACCGTGTGATACACAAATCAATAGTAAATTGGCACCGTGCAAAATAGACAGCCATCTAATGCTAAAAGAAATAAATCATCAAATAACTGACAGAAGTCATCCAAATCTCAAGACATGTCACAATCCATAAAAAAAAAATACTTTATGTATTCAGAATTGAATATGCTTTGTTTGGCATACACAAACAAAAAAAAATAGATATAAATAAATGTATTGAAAAGGTTCAAAATTGTCATAATGGAATAAAACTTTAACATAAACCCCACATTTTATATATATAAAAATGAAAATAAAATGTTGGACTTCATGAACTAAATAAAACAATTAATTTTTATTAAATCAGTTTTTAATGTTTATTAAAAATTTTTTTTTAATTTTAAACTATTTATGGTTCGCTTACATTTTTTAAATATTTTCAATTTAAAAAAAAAAATTATTTAAAAAATTACTCATACGCACCGAGCAACAAAAATGAAATGCTTTAAAATTTTACTTAATTGTTTTTTAGTGGATAGCATAAATACCTTAAATACCATAAATTCCTATAATATTTTTTATAAAATATTTAATAAAAACATCTCATATTATGAACATTTTTTTAATCTGAAAAATATTTAGTTAATTAAATTTGCAGTATATATTTTTTCGTGTCATTTGAATTATAAAATGAACGTAAAATGTATTTTGTCAGTGTTTTACGAATATTTTTAAAAAATGTATGTACTTTATTTTATTTACTTATAGAATTGCAATGGACTTGAAAACCGGTACACTACTAGTACCACCCACCGTCAAGAATTCCAGCTGTTCGCATCCACGCTATTCTACACACAATTTCATTATTCATATCGGTATTGCGGAAACAATTGAAGCGCTATTGATACTCATCCTAACACTGGGCGTTATTGGTGCTAACGCTTTGGTAATATTTGTAATAAACAATCGCAGATACTCACCGTACATACATCAGCAGGTGGGTTTTTGGTTAAACGCTAACGGCGTAGCCACAATGCATATCGAAACAAAACCGGAGCACAGCATGCTCAGTAGAAAAATTTTCACATTCATTTTCTTCACTGTCTTCTTGTTTTATATTATAGCCTCGTTACCTGCTAACATCCCTGGCGTTGAATGATCTCACAATCGGACTGCTAATCACACCATTTGGATTACTGCCAGCACTATTCCATTGTTGGCCTTATGGTGAAATATTTTGCCAAATACAGGTAAATACCATAGCTGAACACAAATAATTCTTCGAATACTTTAAATCAATCATGGGAATGCTTTTGTTCTTTTTATCACTTATAATATTTATGAGAGACATGCAAATATATATGTATTTTGTTTAAGTGAATATATGGAACACTTTTATATACCAGTTGATATTTGAATTTTTAACGATATAAAATATTTCCATAAAGAGAAAATGAAACTGAAAAATTCAACACTATAAAAGTGTTTAAAGAGGAGTGTTAATTGTTTTGTAAGATAATATGAAATTAAAAAAGAATGAAGTTATAAGTATTTACATGATATGATCAAAAAGTTTTGCGCAGAATTTAGTAAATAACTTTCTAAATTTATTGTCCTTTTTCAACAAAAAATGTTTTAAGTTTACTATAGTTTTTCCAATTGTAGTTCTCTGAGTCAAATATTTTATATTTAAAAGCAAAAAATAGGCATAGTGAATGGGCTATTAGGATTGCCGACCACAAACCAGGACATTGCCTTAAAAAATTAATTATTTTCTTTTGCAATTGGGAGCAATGTTTGGTAGCTGTGACAAAGCCGCCCTATCCTCAGGTTAAAATGGATAGCTGCTCTTAACACACAAACCTTTTTGGGCAAGCAATTATTATTGACGATATACATTTTAGGTGTGTATTTATATTAAAAGTATAGTAAGAGCAAAAATAAAATTTTTTTTATTGAGTAATGAATCAAATAGTTCAACTGAATTTGTTCAACTCAACTGAACAACCACGGATGCTGAAGTCGTTTGGAGAGCCATAAACTACGATTTTCAGTTATATCGTTATATCGAACAGTTATATCGTAAAGTAAGCTGAAGTTGTTAGGCCATCTTTTGGTGGTAGTCAATAAGCAACAAAAACTGACAGCGAATTCCATCTTATCAACAGTCCCGAATCTGTATAAAGTTCACCTTCTTTTGCATAAATGATTTTAAAAGAGCCTTAGAAATATTTTAGGAATCGCATGTTTAATCGAAGCTTAGTATATACTTAGCTTAGAATCCAAAGTTTTCGAAATGTGATCAAATAAAATGTATAGGGCTTTAACAAGATCGCTGATATTTATTTGACGATAAATCCAATACCATTTAATATTTTATTTTGTATATATTTAATTTGCCAGAATAGTTTTTATTAACAAAGTGGGAGCAAATATGTTTGAATTTTGTCACCTTCCTATCTCGTATTAACGATGGTATAATCGTAATAAACTATACAACTATAGTTTGTTTTTTAAAATTAAGAATTCAATGATATCTTCATAATAGGTTAGGTGTATTTCTGTTTTTTCTTTCTCCCTAGCCACGCTTTGGGTGGTATATTATTTATATTTGAACAAAGTTAAAGATTTGATTAATCTTACTGAGTATAAGCCGAGCATAGACCTATTGATCTATAATACCTATTGGTTGTTAATACCTTTTGGTTGTTATTACCTATTGGTCTTTAATACCTTTTGATCTATTTATTATAGACAGACTGTACATGCACTGCGACCTGAAAGATCCTTTGTGCATATTGGTCTATAATGTAATCTATTGGTCCATTTAGTATTAGCAAATGGAGTTAATCCTCGAAAATATTTCTAGTTGGCATCTTTTAGAACGTCCACACTTGAAACTCCATTCCTGATACAATTTCAAAATTGTTAACCCCACAAGCATTTTAGAAGTGTTCTCAATATTGCAGGACATAAACGTCGATATATTTTTACAAACTTTTAAAGTCGGTTAAGAAAAGAAATTAGTAACAATAATTTTGTCAGAAAAAAACATCCAATAACACTGAGTAATAAAAATTAAACTTTTTTTCTCGTTTTTAATTTTTTAACAATGTTAATTAAATTTTATGTTGTACTGTGGAATTCGAATTTGTGACACGTTCATTCCTAGATGAATCTAGAATCTATGGCAATAACGGTGTAGAGATATAATATTAAAGTTTTTAAGGATTAATAAAAAGTTTTTGTTTTAAGAGACACAAACAGTTATTAAGACATCCTTCTCCAAATTCCCTTCCCTTTCAATTGTTTTAAGAAAATTTTGAAAAATTTTCTATATCGACAGGCTATTTAGGTAAAGATGTCTAAGGCAAAAATGTTTATGTATTTATTTGCAACAAGTTTACTAAAGACAAAAAATTTGTATATATTAAAAAAAAAAATTATCAACCCTTTTTTATGGGTTAATATTAAAACACCATAAACAGATTCACCATAAAGATTTTTATTGAAACCTACATCTTTAAACTTTAACACGTTATTTTAGAAGATCCAGCAGTCCAAGAGAAAGAAGGGGGTTGTATATTTAAGCAACTTAATCAAACACCATTTAAAAATCAAGAAACTAAATTTAATGATGCATAGTGTGAACTTCCATTTTGTATTTTAAAGCCTTGTTTATAAAATCGACTATAGACTATAGGACTATTTTCGCTATGAAGTGTCTGTTTCAAGTTTAACCAAACAAAACATTTTGTGTCCATTTCACCCATTTCATTTTTTTTTTTTGCTGTGGAAAGCATCGAAAGCCACAGTGTGAGACATGAACCCACTTCAACCATGGGAGAGAGGAATGAGAAAATAGACTTAATGCCTAGTGAACTATATTCATCTAAATCAGAAAGCAAGGGAATGAACTAAGTTGGATGGATGATATAGAAGGATGAGGGGTTGTGGCTAACTAGCAGGGGTGGAATCAATAATACACTTTGTGACTGGGGTCACGAAAACCGCGGTTATATAAAGGAGTAGTGGAGAGGTTATGGTCCACTTCATCGAAGTAGTGGGTCAGGGACATTTTGTGTGCCTTTCATCCATTTCAAGTGTTACTAAATCCAACTTAAAACTTTGAAAGTATGCTATATTTAACACGTAATACTATTATAAGGCGCATTTTTAATTTTCTTTCCGTTCTTGTATTACTAAGTGATACTTCCATTAAAATACTTAATTTTTGCAAATTATATTTTTCAAAAAATCTTACTACATTAAAAAGTTTAATTATCTTTAGCAAATCATTTCAATATATAAGTAAATAAGACTCTTTTAGTGCTTAACACATTAAGTATAGAAACTTTAAATTGCAGTTTGAATTTCTTTAGCTTCCTTATAGTTTAAATTATCCGCCATTACGGACTTACAGCTCAGTGCTTGCATTCACTTGCATACTGACTTCCTCATATTAGGTTACTTAAACAAAGTAGGTAACTTGATTTCCTACATGCCTAATCTTAGTAGATAATAATGTTAAGATGTTATAAAAACAATACAAGCCCATTAAAAACTTAGAGAACAATGGAAAGCTCATGGTAACGTGCTTACATATCATGCATGCACGTAACTGCCACCAATGGAAGCTAAGCCTGTCGGAGAGAAAAACTTCACCAGTTCACGTAAACAACAAAAAAAACAAAACAAAAAAAAACATAACCGAAACGAGTACATGACGTCCAATTAAGCAATTTCCAAAAACGAAACGGTGTCAGCCGCGATATTTAGTACAAAAGCAGGTATGTTTGCAATTCACACAGAGATTTATGGTAACATATTTACGAAAAAACTGAACCTGAGCGGACTACTGATAATCGTTACACATTTACCTACGATGGCAACACTCTTTTCTACCTCGGTTCTATCTGTGGTAATTTCAACATTTGGCGCAATTTTAAGCCGTACTTAATTAACATTTTTAGTTTACAATTTTACTAATACTACGAAAACGAGACTGCGTGTGTTGAAAGTATTTTTGGGAAGTTTTTACTTTCCTCTGAGTACGTAAACCAAGAGACACCCACAGAAAGACACCAACGTAAACTTTACTGTTACCAAAAGTATTCCAACGACATAAATGAAATAAAGTGCAACTAATAAAATTTTAAAATAATTGCAATTACGAAAATTTTGCGATGTAAGATATTGTGTACACTGCAAAAAATAATATGATAGTTGAAGAAGTTTTTAAGTTTATATGATATTTTAAGAAATTTTACTCGGCTTACATTTACTGAACTTACATGTTTGCTTTTTAATCTTTTTAAGGCTTTACTGCGAGGTGCTCTTTCCCAGCAAAGTGCTGTGATATTGGTTTGCATGGCTGTCGACAGATATATGTGTGCACTGCATCCTCGGAGATACTATCAACATTCCAGTAAAAAGGTAAAAATATTTTTAAATGCATTTAACGTAACATATGTGCATACGAGTACAATATACCATACTTTATTTTATTAAATGGCAGGAACGTAAGATGAAATCTTATACTTCAGTTTCGATAAATATTTTTATATAATAAAATTTTGTTCAGGTAAAAATGTCATTAATAATTTAAATACTTTAGTCATGTACATATATAAAGCTTCTTATAGTAGTAAGTTCCAAGTAAAATTTACTTTAAATTTAAGTAGAAAGTGATGCTAAATTCAACGAAAAATAATTGGAACAAACTATGTTTTATTTTTATGTTATCAAAATTATAAATATTTGTCATAAGAGACATTAAAGCCAACAAATGTTTTTTAAAAATTTTTCAATGCGAACTTGAAGAGTATTTAAACCGAGACCAAGTACTGTTTTCTAGAAATTTTTTCAGAATACTTACTCTTATCTAAGTGGAGTAGAATTAAGCGTCAATTGATAAATATTATTTTCTCATTTCAGAATTGTACATATTTTTCTCAATAAAAGTAATAACATGAACTTGTCACACTTTTCATATTGCTCATAAAGTATCCTTGTATTTTAGGAATTTCATTCAAATAACATTAAGAGGAATTAGTAAAACCAAACAATTTAATTTTTAATACCTAAAAACTTAATTCTTTAATTCTTTTACACTGAAGTAATTACACTCTTACTGCATTTAAGATGTCCTTAATAAGGAAGGAGTCCAGAGAACGATAAACAAAAACGAAGTAATGAAGTACTATATGATAAAGCAGGAACAATTTTATCTAAATACAATGACATAATTATGTACTTCACAAAAATGGAAATTATTTTCATGAAGTAAATAAGTATCTTTTTTAAATGGGTCAAACAACAATCTAAGCATTAAGAAATGCACAGAAAAAAAACACAAATAATTTAATCCGCTTTAGTATTTTACTGAAAACTGCAAACTGTATCTTTTTTCATTTAGTTTATAATAGTTACTGATATTATATGGTGATTTTAAATATATTTTAAATAACAATATGTTTCCAAAATTATTAAATTCATAGATTATAGGTAAATGCATGATTCTACCACAAAAACGCATTTTCCAAGAACAATATTTTGAATTTAAATTTTATTTAAATTAAATAAAAGAAAATAAAGAAATTAAAGCAAGTAGTATATATATATATAAATCTTTTAATTTACGTATACAAATCTTCGTATGTAAATAGAACATTGTTTGCTATATACTTTTATAACAGTACTTATAAAGCTGATAAATAATCTATTCAATAATCTAACGAGATATAAGCTAATAGGGCAGTCATACTGACTCCCTGACACTGACAACTTCTCTCAGATGAAGATATGCGTAATCCAAATGGCGGCCAGGCAAAGACAAGATAGCCAATAGGACAGTCATAATGACTACCTGACACTAACAGCTTCTTTCAGATGAAGATATGCGCAATCCAAGTAACGGTCAGGCAAATACAAGCTAGTAGAATTCGTCAATATAGTGAAGTGGGGAAGTCTTTGCTAAGTGCCTAGATATAGTAAAATTGAAGAAAATTATTTAGGAACATAGAAATATTCACCATTCAGGTGAAAAATGACTTATGGACTAATCCCGAAAATTGTAAGACTGCCAGAAAACTATGGTCTAGATTAGATAGAAATACAACGAAAAGCCTTTTGGACTTAAGCTAAGTTGCAGTGCGTGTTTTGAGTGAAGTAGTAACGAAGACACTATGCTATTGCACCAATTCTTTAGCGAAGATATATTTTAACAAGTAAACTATACAGAAATTGCTATGATGAAGATCAAATAGAATTCATTAATGACTTTCTATGGCTTTGTCTGTGAATCTTTTTTGTCGAATCTTTTTGCCTTTATCTACAGAAGCAAATGATTTAACAAGAACAATACTAAAAGATAACAACAGTTACTGTCACTCACATCTCTCAGACATCTTTAAGGATATCCCAAATGTTTCAAATCTCTAAGTAAAAATGATATTCTATCAGCATAAGCCCTCTCAACCTAACCTTAACCGAACCTTAGCATATTGTAAAAGAAAAACTCATGTCCAATAAACGCTTAAAAATTTTTCGTGAATGAATTTAAAACAAATTTTTAATAAGAAACTTTTTTATAATGCTATAATATGGGACTATAAGTAAATGTGAACCATTAGTTACCGATCTACCTTGAAAAACGCTATATGTGATGTCGTGGCATAATTGGGCCATACTTATTTAAAACCGAAAATAACACAATGTTCGTTACAGAACCATGAACAACGAATTATATGTTTAGGTAATCAAGCTCTAGATGCCTTTTGGTTGCAACAGAGCTGTGGATTAAAATTAATAGCTTATTACTATAAATTAAATGTATGATGTCTATAGTACCTCTAGAAATAGAACTATGTCTGTGACCCTCTAACATTTCTTATGGAAGTACTTCCTCATAAAAAGCGTGGCCATCTACATCGTGTGATTTAGTCACACAATCTATAATGGCTTTATAGAAGTACTTCTATTCTAAATCATTGACTGATACGGACAAAAACAACGATTCCACAATTGGAAGCAAATATTGAATGCTTCAATCTTCAGATAAAGTCTTAAATATACGAAACATTTAGAAAAAATTCATGGCTTAGAATGTGGTTTGCCAATATAATATAAAGCCATTAATGCGATTAAAAGAATAAACAAAAATATTTGTGGTTTATTTGCTAAAATTGTGGCTCCACTACTAATTTACTTTAAGTTACTAGTATAAAATATAGAATTCAATGTTTATAAAAAAAAAATAATTTCTTTAGTATAACTAAATTAATAGTAATTGTTCACTTAACTACAACATAATTTCACCGTATTATTATTAGAATTTAATAATACAAATTGATTATTGAATAAATTGAGTACAATCATTTTAATTACAAAATACAGTCATTTACAATATAAGTTTAAATAAAAAGGATATTAAAATTGCATTTTCTGTCTTATGATTAATAATTAATATAAATCTACTTAATTTAAGATGACATATATCAGTTCAATTTTTAATTACATTTTAGTAATGAATGTTGGCATTTCACTATTAATACAAAAAGTATTGATGATTTAAATAAAGCTTTGCAATGAGACTCTCTTCAACTTTGATTTTACATACTCATAATACCGTAAATCATCACACCATATACAATGTATATATCTAACACATACATACGAACTATATATATATAACATAAATTTGCTTACATGTTAACATATATCAATTTGATGCATATATAAAAACAATATTGATGTAATCATATATTTACATATTCCATATATATATATATATATATAGATAGATATATTTCTTAAATACTTAATGCATTGCCTTTGACTTATTTTGAAGCCATTTCGTCATTTCTCATTTAAATAAGGGAATTATTTTATTCAATGCTTTTATTTAAAACAAAATGAAAATATTAATTAAACTGCAATTTTAATACAAAACATTGTATTCTTTGCAATTAAAGCGTATGTACTTCAAGTTAATTAAAAGAATTCGACATTTTTTATATGTTTTCATAAAGAATTGGTTTTATTTTAATTTTTTGCATTGAAATAAAATTAAATTTTTATGGTAAAGATTAAATTAATTTTATGAAAACATTGCATGTTGACTCAATTAAATTGGTGTTTCATTTATAACTAACCGAATACGCACACATGATTATGGTTAACTGTTAGCATAATAATATATAATAATCGTATGTACATCAGGAAAAGATTAAATAACCATACATTTTTTTTAAATGACTTATATAGAGTAATTAAAGTAATTAAGTCATTAATTAAGCAATTAAAAAATTACATACCATTTATATGTTACATAAATCACTCTACTACAATGAATTTCTTTTAATAACAAAGTAAACCCCTTCACTGCATTGGCGCAGACACTTAATGCTAAAGTTATTTTAAACAGACTAATAAGTAAACAAATCCAAAGTGTAACTAACAATAGCAAAACGACAAAAAATAATTAGAAAAGGTAAAGAACAAGATACTCTTTATATATTGCGTATATATATTGTGTATATAAATATGTATAAAAATATATATGCACATAATAAAATAAAATAATAAGTTGACGAAAATATATATATAAATGATTATATTTAATAATATTTGATGAAGACATCTACAATAAATTTTCTTGACATTAAATAGAAGTGCAGTTATGTCAGCTTTTTTTTAAATTTTTTTGTTAATATTTTTTTGGAAAGATCTTAATAGGATTTAAATCCATATTTTGCGTACCGTAGTCCCAACACAGATAGTCCGTGCTATCAAGACCGTACTGTTCTCTCAAGTTACAACAAGTTAATTATTATTATTGCAAATCATTTATATCAACGAAACTAAACTCAAGACTGAAAATATGTACATCTCTTTTACAAGAATGCTTAAACTGAACTATATGAGAATTATATGTTAACCCACAACAACATTATTGTCATTGTCACAATAAACATTGATCATTTTTTGATTTACAATAACTTTTAAAACTTTTTAATGAAATACTATAGTAATAAAAATAAAAGATATAATTTGATTTGCAATTATGGTCTGTCATAATTAATAGTATTTATATACAAAATACGTTTTTATATACAAGATGAATTTTTTTATGATAATCCTTAATATGTTTAATAAAATTTTATCATATCGCCAATATCAGCTTTAAGTTTATCTAAATATTCAATACAATATAAAAGTTACACATTTTCATTTTCAATATAAAAAAAAAAACAAAGAAAATCTCATTTTTGGCATTCCCACAGGGTTGTGTTGCCATACTCAGTCTCACATGGATAATAAGCCTGACAGTTTTTGGATTTCTCGTATTGCCGAAAGGTAAATGTTACTTAATGACTTTTACATTATTCCACAGCCATTAAAAGTATACGTTTTACACTCTTCTTATATTTTACTATTTTTGCTATTCGAAACATTTTTGCAAATATGCAACAACGTGTGTGCTTGCCAAAATTAGGTTACTACTTCAACGGCTCCGGTCTAATGGCCTGCGAACCATTTTACAGCAAACCATCATATCGTATATTGGCGACATGCGCCCTCTACTTTCCCACCACAATGGTACTGATGTACTGTTACGGCTCCAGCTTTCATATGAGTCGTTTCAGGCTTAACGACCCAACAATGCCGCTTACTGCCGCTGCACATCATCCGCATCATCATCATCATGCATTAGCAGCTTCTTCGACGTTACCTAGCACACCAGTCATGAATTTGATGAGCATGGGCTTGGGTATGGCTGGTATGGGAGGCCCCAAAAATACAATCACAAAAAAGGTAGGTATAATTAATTGAGTTTTTCATTACTGACGCGTACTTAACATAAATCTCTTTGCTCCTCGTTTCTTACGATAAATTTTTTATTTTGCTTCATTTTGCTCTTAATTCATTTTATTCTTTTTTTGTTTTTCGTTTTCTTTTTGCATTTTATTTATTTATTTTTTTTTTTTGCACTTTAATAATATTACTAATTTGATACTACTTATATATGACTTCAAATATTACCTGCCAGCACGTTTACAAGAAACACGTTTTACGTATGCTTGCACTACATTGCAGATTGTACCAATACAGGAGAAGAATTCGAGTGGCTCAACGTCACGTTCAATGGCAGCAATTTCATTGGGTTTCATTGTTATGGTCACACCATGGACAATACAGGAGATTGTTACCGCATGCACAGGCTCGAAGGCAAGTTGCGCATACATAATCAATTCCTTCGTTTGCTCGCATTTGTATTTGAGCGCTACACCAAAGTAGATAAATTATCTATTTTCCCCCACCTTAAAATAAATTTTTCCCATTCTGTGAATTTTTTTGAATTTCCTAAATTTTTATTACCAACAAAATTCGTTTATCGTTCACTTTTAATTTTACTTGCAGCTTCCACCTTTTTTGGATTTTTTAGTTACATGGACTGCATTGAGCAACAGTCTCTGGAATCCATTTATGTATTGGTTGCTAAATTCGGACTTCCGTCGCCTTAGTCGACACCTGATGCCAAATAAGGTAAAATTAAATCTTGTGTTTAATATTAAGCAATTTATTGAAAATGTATTCAAAATCCTCCCGATAACAGACCATTATTTCTTACATAGAGTTGAAAAAATAATTTAAATAAAACTACAAAAGGTAGAAGTAATGTAGTGGTTCCATTAAATGTTTTGACTTTATGTGAAAATTAAGCTTTTTTTATTCATACATATTTATTAAAAGTTGTTTAAAGAAGTTAACCTTAACTCCAAATACGCGTACTGTACTTTACTGGAATACCCGAACCGTGTATTTATCTTTAGCTAGACATCTATATTGGCCAGACTTTGACAAGATTTATATTTTCAAATACAAACACATATTTTCGAATGATTTCTGCAATTAAAAATTCATATGTATTAGTAAAAACGTGCGAATGTATGCAAAAATCTTGTCAAAGTCAAGCCAGTATAAACACCGATTAAGTATTTTCCATTAGAAGTAGCGCAACTCCTAGTATATGTACTTTAATAAAATATATTCACTTTATATATGCACATCGTTAAGTATTTTTCATTCATATTAAGTTAGCATTATTATTATGACATGTTCTATAAATTACAATCACAATTTAAGAACTTAGTCTATTCACATATGCTATCCAGCCGCCCCTTGCGTAGGGTTGTCATCAAATTTCCATTCCTATCCGAAGTTACTCTTGTGAATACTCGAATCATTTGGAAGTCCAATACACTAGCTAATTAGACCAAAGCACTCTATTTCGGTGATAAGTTTGCTACCTTTCATAAAGGTTGTTAGATCCCTGGCCTCCGAAACTACCCTAGTCTTCATGTGGCAACTGGTATTTCTATCAAGAACCAGACGTTGTGGAACAGTTATACCGCTGAACATTCGGTCGCAATGCCTCAGGGAACACCACGAGAAGGTTGAGAATGACATTTGTGCTGAGAGGCTTTTTGAAACGCTTGCATACACTTTCATCCCCAGTTAGCAGTATTGGAAGTTTGAAATATTAATCGCGTCTTATCTCGTAGTGCACGTACATTACCTTAATGGAATATCTTTATTTTATGTTTTTCTGATATAAATCATCTTTAATTCCTAATATGTGTGCTGTATTTGAATAATATATCTTTACCTTATATTTCAGTATTTATGTACATTCCCTTTGTAACAAGATACTTAAAGTTAGGGATTCATCATCTTTAACTCCGAGTATGCATACTGTGACAATAAGATCTTCACTATATATAAGTGAAGTTTCTATAAGGTGTGTGAAGGGTTTAGTATTCATGGTATTTTTATGTTGAAGTATATTTATCCGTATCTACTTATTATAGGTTGTAAAAATGAGTTTCCATCTTAAGCTCCCAGTATACGTACTATAACTTAATAACTACATTCTATATTTTTATTCTAAATTCTTTTACATTTATATTTCTAGGAATGAATGAAGGATTTTTCATATTTAGCTCACAGTATACTTACTGTACCTTAATAACTACACAGGTTGTTTTTATTCTAAATTATTTTCCATTCGTATTTCCAGGAATAGATGAAGGATTTTCCATATTTAGCTCACACATCTTGTTTTTATTCTAAATTATTTTTGATTCATATCAAATTATTACATATTTCATAAGAAACTTATTTTTAATTCCAACCATACATACTGTAACTTAATAAGATATATTTCGTATCTTTAACTATTTTATCTTGGCATTAGAATAGTAACTGTTATGGAATCAATTTATTTTTGGCTTTCAGATGTTCAAAATCTATTCATCTGACTCCAACCGTAATGTACACTCATTTTAAATCGAAATGAAATAAAGCTACAGAAAAAATATATTAACTAAAAAATATCTACAATGACGATACTCGTACGATACCATTAAATACTATTAAAATAAAATTTATTTCCATTTAGCTTATATGCGATTGATTATTGTTAACAATTAAGCACAACTGCCGAGTCGGCAAACCAATTAACCGATATAAATGGATTAGTTTAATTAACATAATTGTTCACTTAATTACAATCAAATTAAGTTATAATTAAATCACTGAAAACATCTAACAACGCAGCATAAAAACGATTTAAAATTTTAATGATTTTAAATTGAAATTAATTAAAGTTTTTTGCGAAAAACGGAAACGGATACTGCTTTTTAGCTTTCGTATGGCAAAAATTTTATTAATAAAAAATTAATTAATTTAGCTTGCTTTAATTTATTTATTTGTTTTTTAATTACTTTAAATTTACTTTAAATTTAAACATTAAAAAAGTTTTTATTTCCACACAAATTAGTACAAATTTTTCCATTTCAATGTTGAACATTTTTGACGCTGTAAACATTGTCCTAGCTACTCCCATATTGACTTTGACCCAGACAATTGTACAATTCATAGAAATTCATGAACTCTTGAATAAAAACAAAAACACATATAAAATACCAATGTCTTTTGTCTTATTGCTTGTTTAAATTTTCATATATTTTCAGTGTTTTCCCACCGAGGACACACCCGAACATAAATCAGCTTGTTGTCACAACAATTCCGATTTTGAAATAACCACTTTGCCAATGCCACCAGAGCCGCCCACATCTCGGCCACCGGGCAGCAGTAGCGGTATTGGCGGTGGCTCAGTACTCGGCATTTGTGCACGTGCCCGTACCAATAGTCTTAGTCGTAGCGCCTCACAGTATATACGCGGTCATCATCATGGTCATAGTCATCACGGCGGCTTTGCGACCATGCGGCCAGATATTGAAGGCTTATCCGAAAAGTATTGGGGCGAAATACTTGAGCGTACTGTAAGCTCAGGCAGTTTGCATGCCATGCAAAAGAGTTTTCCACTTAGTCAACATCATCACCATCACCACAATACACCAGCGACCATGACAACCTCATTTAGCAAACATAGTGATCTAAATTTAACCATATCCGAGCATGAACGCGAACAAGACGGCGCCTCAAATACTGCCCTCGAATGCGAATTAAGTAAATTTTCGAATTCTGAGCCAAAATTGTGCGAACACATCTATCACGATGCAAATTGTGCAAAAAATAAATCTGCACCGAACGGCGCGTCAGCAACTAATGCAACTTCGAACATAGATGATACAAAACATTCAAGCAGTTTTACCAACGGACGCAATATACCGGATATTTAGTACGCAGAGGATGTCATATTGGCTAAGAGTCATACTAGACACATTTGCGGACACATCGCTAATAGCCATATTCCAGGAAAATGCGCTAAAACCACAACTCGTGCCGCAGTCACAATCCGCCGTCAAATGTTGTAAGTGTGATAATACCGCTGGCCGAGTACCGGAAGTAAAGTGTAAATATTATAGAGCAAATAATGAAAAAATTATTTTATAAATAAATAAGTTGCGTGTTTGATGTGTAGTTGAAGCAAGTACATATAACAGAAATACATAATTCAGATAATTCAGAAATTATTGGCAGAGTTTAGAGTGAAAGTACGTAAATGTTTAATATCTAATATGTGTGATAATTTCAGTTAGTTTTTTATTTATAAAATAAATTCTCATACCGACATAATCGTATTCGTACTCATACTCATACTCATACTCATATATAAAGATTCACTCCGCACTTCAGTATAGTTTTTTCAATAAGATTTGAAGCGAATCCTATATTTTGTGATTGTCATGAATTTATGTAAAATTTTAAACAATTGTAATGAAATGATTAAATTTAATTAATATAAATAAATTACATGTAAATTTGAAAATAAGGTTGGTTATAAGTAATTAATGTAATTTCGTAGTCTAGATCAAGAATATTTAAATTATTTGTGTGAAGTAATATTAATGTGGCAATAATTGCAATTTATCGCATTTAAAATTAATAATAAAAATAAAAACTTTTGTGAGAATAAATATAAAAAATTAAAGTATAAAGTATTTTAAAATTTATTATTATTCTTATAATATGCATTAATTCAAGAAGTGTGTAAGTATGTTTTATGAAAAAAAATTTATAATTTTTGGCTTCAAAATATTATAAGAAACTTTTTACCTAAAATCTTTGGTTTATATCCGAAGACTAATGGATAAATAAAAGACCTAAATAATTATAAAAATTACAAGCAAACATTCTATAATCCGTAAACTAGAAAACTTGCTACTACGACTTGAATCTCGTTTAAAAGATAACATCGATAAGTCATAATCCTTATTTATCTCAAAAGCCACTTAGTCCCAATTAAACCAAGTGAAGAATGTAGTAAAAAGTTATGAATTATATGGTTGCAAAGAAAAGTTACTAAAACACCCTTGTATATATATATATTTAAACTACGATCAAGTTTTTACTTCAGTGCATTGTTTAGACCCGCGCTTCCCAACGTTTTTGTGACCAAGGACCACTATGACAATTTTACCATAAAGTTCAAGAATAATAAATTGTATGATTACTTTAATATGCTTTATGCGTCTCTAGTATAATATATGTATAATAAATTGTATAAGTGCATAGGTACATATGCACTTATATAGAGACTATAAAATAGGTATATTATTGCTTGGAAATTTTTATTGCTTATTTTCTAATAAGTGAGGTGTCAGTGGTCAAACTACCATCTCGTGGACCACCTGCGCTTGACGTGTTGGTATATTGCAAGTAATAGCTCGTAAATACCTTCAACGAATATTAGTTAAGTTGTTCCAAAACGTTAGAGGTTTGAGAGTTGTCTGCCTTGATACCATATTTTAAGTAACCCCAAAAAAGTCCTTTGACAAATCACAAGATTTTGGTAGTCAATTCACATTACCAAAATGTGAAATTATAAGTCCGTTAATTGTGCAACAGAGCCTAGAAAGAACTATTTGATATTGTTTATGACTATCTCCTATTGAAATGACATATCTTACACATCTACTTCTGCAATTTCACAGGAAAAAATAATATAATGATAATCATATGGCTGTATCGAAAAGAAATAATGGTTTGTATCTCAGCTTAATCATTTTCAAAGAAGAACGGATATATTACACGCCCAGACCAAATAATTAAAAGCCACAGCCTATAGTAACTTTTTGGAAACACAATAAACAGTACGAAACGAAAATTAAGATTCATCACTGAAAAAAATTCAATACAAAATCTCATAACACAATCGCTGTTATTGGAGTATCCAATCGTAATATATTTTACGTATTATATTGCCAGACGGGTTCAGTTCTTATATTAGCTGAATTTTGTACTGGTGGTTATGCAAATCTATAAGCAAAATACGTCCCGTGTAATGTATGAATTGAGATCTTCTTCGAAACTTTCACCAAAACACATTAATAAGCGGCAGAGCGTAGATTATGTGAAGGGGAGGGGGGAGAAGTGAAGTATATATTTAAAACATCTTTATTGTCGAAGTTTCTTTGCAGTATTAAATTATATTAAATTAAAATATAATAAAAATAAATCTTATGCATCATATATACACATTAATGTAACATATAATATATGTATATCGATATGTAAATATAAAAAAAATTATAATTACTGAAATTTTTTTTTAAGATCTCAATTAAAGTATACTCTTTGATAAAAACTAAAATAATTGTCTCTCTAGTGACTTTAGTGTTTTTAACTCCTCATTATCAAAATACTAGTTACTAATAATATTTAAATATTAAAACAAAAATATTATAAGAATAATATAGTTAGAGTTCTCTTTAAACTATTTGGTGATAAGGAGTTTATTGATTGGTGGCACTGACATATTAGCGAATATCCTTCTACTTCCCATAATTAGCTATTTTTCGCCTTTCTGGTTAGAAACCAAATCCATCTCAATGAATTTATGTCATTTAATAAGTCTTTTATCCTTACCAATAAACAGTCCGACAAACTGAAAAAAATACTTCCCTATAAACATGTTTCTTGTGAAAGCTAAAAATCGGTAATCACAGAAAAATTGCTATGCAAATACGAATAATCTATTTTCATATTCCAGCCTTCTCCCTATATCATCTTTCTCGCTAAAGAAGATAATAATGTAGAACATGGTGATGATGTCTAGACCTTGACACAACTCTTACAGAACCATTTTTTTCCATTTTTTCACTGTTTTGTGTATAGCGTTTTCAATTTTACTTAAAGTTGAAATAAGGTAAATGCCTTACTACCTTACTATATGTACTTTTTTACCTTACTATATAATCAACACATTTTCCTAATAAGTTTTCATAATTTTAGCACATTCACTGAATCTTTGCGATCTATCTTTATCTTTTATCTATCTTTTAAAATGACAAATTTTGAACTTAAAATAAATGCTTTAGCTTATGTTTCTGTTTAATATGTATTACTTACTAAAGCTTACTTAGTTTCTTATTTGAACATAACAACCTGTAACATAACAATATTACTAAAACATTGCGATTCCAAGAACGGCCGAATATACGTCTCAGAGCTACTCGTCAACCATGACGACCGAATACTGATCAGATTCTTCAAAGGGATTTTACAAGCAGAACTCATCGGATTAGAATAACAACAACTAAAACATTGCTGCCAAATCAAGACCACGAAATGGACAACCCTTTATTTAAGTACAAGTACTATAATAAATTCTTCATTACCTTAATGTAAACATTATAAGAACTATATGTAATAATTAAAATATTAGTAGATATATGTAAATAAAGAAATTATCACCACTTTATTAATATACGTAAAAATTTAAAAAATTCTTAATTATATATTATCAATAATGTGCATTTATCTGATCTCCTTGAACTTCATACATAACTAATTGAGCATTACCTGTACCTTTGAAATTAAATAATTATTTTACTAGAAACTCAATTTTTTTTATTGTCCCCATTGCTAATAGACATAAACCCTCAATTCTATGAATGTCAATTTGTTTTTTCCCTATTCACCATGACAAGACACGGTCAAAAAGTTCATTATAGAATAGCAATTTCATTATAATAATTTGTTTAGAAAGAAAGATTTAAAAGAAAAATATTGGAACAATTTAGCTGACATCAAGCAGAACCAATTACATTTACATGTAATTAGCTTAATGCCAATTTACTCTCACTCTCGGTTTATTGTTTGATAAAATTACAAAACATAATCTTGGTAAATCTTTTAGACCAAAAGCAATGGCCATGTATTTACACGCACACGAATCTCATCCCGGCTCAACAATTGCGTTGCTGGAATGCTGGAAACCACATCTAAGTGCCACAAAGTGAATTTACTGTTGATGCGAATGTAAGGAAATGTTTCTTAAGAAGTTTTCACAACTGAAAAACTTGTACTGCCCATCACTCCTGATCATTGTTGAAAACGCACAAAGGCATGAAATTAAATGGAACACGCAAGCTTATTCCAAATCTTCTGAAGGAGCTAATTTTGAATTGTTTTGATTTGAATTTCTCTTTCAACTTTTTTCCTTTACTCATAAATTTTTACAACTATTTAATGGAAAAAAAAATTCAGTTTTACTACTTTAATTTGCATTGAAGGCAAAGATTAAATTAA